ATTGCATACATTAATGTCCATCATTTTTATCGCAGGATTAACCGGCCAATCCGATGGACGAATGAAACTCAACAGTGAGAAGGAGCTGGAGCCGTCAAAAATGAAATGTAGTAGTAAAAAAAATTTAAGCTGCTGAACCTTTTTTGGCAACTCACAATATTACATTTTTATATTACATATACGTTTTACTGTTTCCTTCTCCTTTTTTGTAGGGGACATAATCGAGCCTTAGGGGGATCGTTAAATCATTTTCGTCGCACAATATCTCGCTGACCATCGTTCGAGAACGCGTCCAAGGACCGTATGAACGATCAAATACTTATGACGATATAGAACCGGTTCAGATAAGGCCTCATTCTTATCGTTCAATCCTCTCTCACTTCTGATACACTAAATTGCGTGGGTGGATTCGTAAAATCGGGGTTGACGTAGCTGTAGCGTTATGGCTTATGAATTGAAGACAGAGTGTTAGCAAATCAGGATCAGGAGGGGAAAAGGAGCAGGAACAAGGCGCGAGTGAAGACTGTTGCTGATCACCAGCTTTAACTGATCATTTTCTGCTGCATAAGAACGATACCTGACCACAGAGTCCTTAAAAATTCATTCGCAACATTATCTAATCATTCCGCGGTACTCATCACTGACCCTTTGGCTGCGGGTGACAAAATTTTTTTTTCAGTTTTCACATTCCCCACATACTTTTGAGAGTTTTGAATACCCCGTCGCTTAAATAGTTGGAATCAACGTTCACCCGGCTGAAAATTTCGATTTTGGCGAAAGTTGACTTTCCCCCTGGAAAAATCCAAGATCTGACACTTTGACCCCCGATGAAAATTTTTTTTTTTTCAGTTTTCACTTTTTCCACATACTTTTGAGAGTTCTGAATAGCCCGGCCTTAAATAGTTGGAATCGACGTTCACCCGGCTAAAAAATTCGATTTTGGCGAAAGTCGACTTTTCCCCTGAAAAAACGGAAAATCTGACCCTTTGTAAATCTAAAAAAAAAAACTTTTTCAGTTTTCACTTTTTCCACATACTTTTGGGAGTTCTGAATAGCCCGTCACTTAAATAGCTGGAATCAACGTTCACCCAGCTAAAAAAATCGATTTTGGCGAAAGTCGACTTTCCCCCTGGCAAAACCGAAAATCTGACCCTTTGAAAATCTGAAAAAAAAAACTTTTTCAGTTTTCACTTTTCCCACATACTTTTGAGAGTTCTGAATAGCCTGGCATTTAAATAGTTGGAATCAACGTTCACCCGGCTAAAAAATTCGATTTTGGCGAAAGTCGACTTTCCCCCTGAAAAAATCCAAGATCTGACACTTTCGCCCCCGGTGAAAAATTTTTTTTTTCAGATTTCACTTTTTCCACATACTTTTGAGAGTTCTGAATAGCCCGTCGCTTAAATAGTTGGAATCAACGTTCACCCGGCTAAAAAATTCGATTTTGGCGAAAGTCGACATTCCCCCTGGCAAAACCGAAAATCTGACCCTTTCAAAATCTGAAAAAAAAACTTTTTCAGTTTTCACTTTTCCCACATACTTTTGAGAGTTCTGAATAGCCCGTCGCTTAAATAGTTGGAATCAACGTTCACCCGGCGAAAAAATTGGATTTTGGCAAAAGTCGACTTTCCCCCTGGAAAAATCCAAGATCTGACACTTTGGCTCTCGTTACCCTTGTGAGCCTTTGACCGACTTACCCTCTGAAAAAATCCAAGATCTGACACTTTGGCCCCCGGTGAAAAATTTTTTTTTTTCAGTTTTCACTTTTTCCACATACTTTTGAGAGTTCTGAAAAAATTCCAATAAATTCCAGTAAATATAGTCTTGAATTTCCAATTAATTGAAAATTTCACATAATTTAGAATTGAATATTCAAAGCTTATAATCAAAACTAATTTTTTCATCTGTGTTTCTGTCGTTCGATGAAGCACAATTGAGCCTCTACCCTTGAGAATAAAAGAGAAGGAAAATTGTGGGGAGTAGCAATTTGAGAACATGCGAAACTAGCGGGAGAATGATCTCTGATTATGGGTCTCGCTGGTTGCTCTTCCATTAACGAAATTTTCAACGACCTTGTCAAGCATCTGTGGATGATAGTCATCGATGTTTATCTGACCGTAAAAACAACAACCGGATGATTTACCTCTGCGCTATTGTGCCAGGGTCGGTAAGTTGATGTTCTGCTGTATCAATTGAGCGTCTTCTACTTGATTGTTAAAAAGAAATTTGAAATTTCATGGACAGTTGTGTTGTAATTTTCAGGGGGGTGGGGGGAGATTAGAAAATTTAAAATTTCTCTGGAAATTCAATGAAATTCTAAATTTGAGCCGCAGGAGTACGGATAGGCCCCTGACGCTGTAGGATTTCCCGGTTTTACGGTGTTCCTGCACATTAACATCAATTTTTTTTCTTCAAAAATATATTCTACGGACAGTAAATAAGAAAATAACTCAATAAGATCCATCTCCAGTAATGAGTGGCAAATCTTTAATTTTCAAAAATCTATTCTCAATTTCTAGGAATTGAGGAGAATTCGTAGGTGATTTTGTCACCTATTTCTAATGACATTATTAACAATTTTCAGTGATATTGTCGCTATTTTTCATGTTTCATCACTAATTTTCACAGTAATGTCATTGATTTTCGTGGACCCATTTCTAATTTTTGGGAATCTATCACCAAATTTCAGTGATAAAAATCATAAACAATCAGGGTTATTCCACTGAATATCCAATATCACCAATCATTGATCTTAAATTCCGGAAAATCAGTGACATGTCCGTGGAAATCAGTGACTTGTCCCTGAAATTAAACTTTTTTTTTATGTGTTCACGGAGAAAATTATTTGGTGACTTTCAGCAACTACTTTTTAAATCTCACCAAATAGTTGTTGAAATTCACCAAATAATCTCCTCCATGTTGCATCGGGATTTGAAAGACTAAGTCTCCCGTTGTACACAGCGACAATAACAACTCGTGCAAACTAATGCAGAGAGGCGGATATGGCTCGTGAGATGATGGTTCCTGCGGCATCTATTCAAGCCGTTATTATTACATACAAATACGTGTACTGAGGAAATGATAAGTGGTGTGTTCGGGGCGGCTATGCTCTGTGATTTAAAGCACCACTAACGCGTGCCTTCAACGGATCTCTTTCTTCCTCTCTCACCCTGTGGTGCATCCACAAGTCCCCTTTCACCCCGCTCCCACTTTGGATCTACATCCCAAGCACTTTCGTCATGAATTTATTAATATCTGGATGAAAGGGATAAACTTGAAGAAGACAAGCAGAGACCCCGATTTATTCTCGTGGTTGGAGGGTAGAGGAGGAAGAACAAAGGGAGGAGAAATGTTCTTGATAAACTACCCCATCGGATCTTCGAAAGCAACGACTTGTTATCACTTGTATGTAAAAATCGACGAGAAAATATCATCTGCTAAATCGCATGAGTCAGTGATTGTTGATTCCAAATTTTGAAGCCTCAAAATGAATTTTCTTTTCGATAATTTGTTCGATTGTAGGCATATAAAAACTGTACTTACATCAAACTGAAGCAAATCAATATTTTCACTCTTGGTGAAGAACGAATTCATTGAACACCTTCGCCCACTGTTGCTGGAACTTCCAGCAGACTTTTTGGAATTTTTTATCCCATTAGTTCCACTGAAATTTAAAGTTATTTCGTCATCGGAAATTCAACGTTTTGAGAAAAAATCAATGGAAACTGTGAGTTTCAGTTCAAATATTTCATGAAAATTATTAGAAATCGGGACAATTCAGATGAATGTTTTCTGGAATTTTTATGAATTAATGAGTCTGTGAAATTTGGTAAGAAAGGTTCATATTTTTTTATTGAAAATTCAAGTAAGTTGAGGAATTCTCGTCCTCCTCCTGTTCCATAATTTGCAAATTTCATTGAATTTTCAGTCTGAAATCTGAAATTTAATGATTTCTTTCTTCTAAATCGAACTCATCATGAAATTGACATTTTTCATCAATAAAATTCGGGAAAATTGAGCTGACTGTATTCTTGAATTTTTAATTAATTGAAGATTCTGTGAAATTTGGTAAGAAATATTCCTGTTTTTGTTGAAAATTCAGTTCTCGTCTTCCTACTGTTTTACAGTTCACGATTTCATTGAATTTTTAGTGAAATCTAACATTTCATCTTTTTCCCCCTAAATCGAACCCAACATCACTCTTCAAAAATTCCTAATCAAATGCCCATGAAACTTACATTTTCTCCAACAGCGCATATGCTGCCAAGGACTCATCTCCGTCCACTTTCCATCTACTTCATTCCACGAGTGACCATCCCCTCGAAACCACCACTTTCGAAAGGAAATGGCACTCGTCCGCCGACTCCAGCCTCATCTCCCCTGATCGCCCTCGCAACAACAGGAAAATAGCCCGTGAAATTCTTCCAACCTCCCGCCCCGATAAAACCCCATCACCGGGCTATCCGCATTTAAGAACGTAATTCCCAATGTCTGGATGTCTGCAGCACCGAGGAACATCTCAACCTTGGTTTCGCCCCGAGTCCAAGACGGCATTTAATCTGGGAGCATCATCGAGAGGGTCGCGGCTGCACTATTATTAGTGACAGAGAGAGCAAAATATTCGCGAGTGAGTTACAAAGTGAGATCGCAAAAAGGCAGAAAGCCCTCGTATGCCCGATGGCTACCGGTTTTGCCCGAGTAAGAAGAAGAGAGACGCGGGATCACGCCATTTTTTAGCCCCTCATAACTCAATTTATTATTTTTTTCCCGCGCTATTATTTTCCGTCCAAAAAAAACAGGAGACGCGCTCGAAATTGAGAGAGGATTGGGACGAGATGGCAGCAACCTCTACTCCCCCATTGGATAGTGTGTCTAGCAGGCCTCTGCCCCACTATGTTCAAACCCGACGGGTACCAGATACTCCGAAGCCCCCCGACACTAGCCGAAGCCGTACCGAATGTCTCCCCCGCACGGTTGGCTCCGCAGTCTCTCACGTCAAGCCGGCTCGTTCGGTCGTGTTTACCTCAGCTCTTACTCCGTCTACAACAGGCCAGGTGCGCGTTACACCATCTCTTTCTCCCCCCTCCCCATTAACCACCTTATTTTCACCACTCCGGGGCAATTCTCGAGACAAACGTTGTTTTCATCATTCCCAACAGGTCATTCTAACCGCGCCTAAAAGTAAACACTCCAATCTTATTATTAACCTGCAAAAAGTGAGTTCCCCTCGTCATGGTGTGACGCCTAAGCCCCGCCGCCCCATTAAGTGCGAACATTTTTTGTTAACTGAGTGAAAATACAAGACGGAAAATAAGTTGACGAAGTAAAAGAACGGAAGTTGGATTTCCTGCATTCAGCCCTTGGATATTAAAACCTCCACTCGCCTGCTGTTGGAGAGGACGGATTCTGTACGAAGGTAGGAATCAATACCGCATATTTCAGTGTGTTCTGTTTGGATACGATGGGAAAACGTGTTTGTGAGATTCTGAGGGGGTTTAGATGCATGCAGAAGAGACAGAATGAAACGAATGCCTGCAGTGAAGGGGGATTGAGAGGCGCGTTGCGCATCCGCGGAGCTGGAATTCGTCATCCATTTTCGTCTGTATTTGGAGTTTTATTGGGGAAGGTCGTCGGCACGAGGTGATCAATCCCCCCCCGCTGATAAATATTTTCATTCTCGTTGTGGTGAATTCCGATGGGTCAATATTTATCGGGACAGGACTGATGATTTGTTGGGGGACAGTTTCCGAGTATTGATGACGGGTTGAATAAACGAATGTTACCTATGATACCGTTGTAACTGTCGTAACGTGAGGCTGTTCATCGTGATATAGGGAGCACGTGTGTTCCGAGGGGAATTAATCGATGAGTATTGTCGATCCACCAGGACACGTCCTTCTGTTTTAATAATGAGACACGTGAGGGCCTCGGCCTCTTCACCACGACAAATACAAATACAAGGTCTCTCGTACGACGATCGGAAATAACTGATCTCCCCGGATTTTTTTGAAATGCCGGTTCGTTGACCTGAACATTTGTTTTCATGCTCAATCCCGCGAGGGTGTAGTAGTCGCTCGACACTGAGAGGAAAACGAACACGTCTTCAAGCAAGTCTTGCTTAGGCCAAGAAAATCGTTAATTGAGAATTACAAAAGAAAATAATTGTTTAGTTCGAATCTGAAAGTCTCAAACGTGAATAGGGGGAACAGGGGAATTGATGAACGATTAAGGGAAATTCAAGTTTTGTGGATGGAGTTGAAACTAGCAGAATATTCGTGAGCGGAAAATTCAATTTAGGGGATATTTTTTATTTCATTTTTAACGGAATTCGTTTTGCAACTGGCTATCGCCCGAGGGCCTTCAGCCAGATTTAGGGAATATTTAAGTGTAGAAGAGTCAAATCATGTGTGCAAATGTTTTTCAAGTGCGAAAGAGTTTGCACATTACTTAAAAACATTTGTCCACCCCTAGATTCGTCTAAGACAAATCTGCTGTCCAATCTTTCGCTAGTTTCAGCTTCATGTTTTGGGGTAGGATCTAAAATACAAGAATCATGTAAATGGGGATATTATGGCTTATATTCTTTCGAGAATGTTTTCATTAGCAGAAAAAAATATTTGAAGTCAAAATAAAAAAACAAAGAATAAGTAAATTACGAAATAGTTGAATGCAGCCGAAACCCCTTATTTCTGATTACGAATGGGAGCATTGGATAACGAAGGAGTAGTGCTAGAAATTACATTCCTTGCTTGCACATAGAATACAATTTTTTTGAAAAGACTAAATCTGTAGTGAAGTGGTAAACTAGGATAAGTCCAATTTAAAAAAAAAAATCTACTGCTTGAATCGAAAATTCTCTCAAAAGTTGTCGAATTTGTTAATTCTCCTGAAAAAGTTCCATTTTTGCATTTTTTCCAAATTTTCAATCTCGGCGCACGCTTCGCATGTTACACAACAAAAAAATCCTATTTTGATCATTTTAAAAAAACAATATTTTTGACACAAGTAAAACTTGTTTGAGAACTCTACTGTTTTTCCCCCGGTGGAGAGTTTTAAAATTCTCTCGGTTTCATTGCCATTACAGCTCTCATCTCCTCTTTGTTAACATCCACAAATTTGTTTTCGTTCAACTCTGCGTCGTTATTCACATGTGCATGTCTGGGGTAGGCTTCTCCGAGGAGTCATCTGGCTGACTAATTCGATGAAAAGGGGAAAAATCGGCTGGCGCCAGTGGATTAAACGTTTCAACTTGAGGCAGAGAATTCCAGTCATTTCAAGCGGTATTAAGTGGTGGAAGAAATTTCGAGACTCCTCAAGGGCACTCTTTGCCTTTTTGCTGGGTGAAATTGCGCGTTGCATTCGCCAGAGGATGGTAATTCGATAAGAGATCATTCTAATCATAATTAATTACTCCATAGCAATGAACATTGCGAAAAATAAAAATGATATGTTCCCCTGAAGAGATCCTTGAGTCAATTTACTTGCGGACAGAAAAAGTTTCCGCCGAAACACGATAATTTTCGTAGTAGTAATTGTTCTCGTGAGATATTTATGTCTTTCGGGTAAATACATTCGTTCAGAGAATTACATGAGGCTCCAGTTTTATCAAGTGAATGTTATTGAGTAGTATATTTCTTCGTCCAATAAACATTATTATTTCCATAGAACAAACGTTGATTTCAAGAGGGAACTACAATTTTCTTGGCGAAAACAGGGTTTTTGACAAAATTAAATAATTTCGGGCGTTAATTTTTTTTGGGAACAGCATATTCTTTCCTCGTTAATGTATTTCTTCTGTGGTAGATTACATTCATTCCTGTCAACCGTTCGATTTTTTCTAGGAATATTTCTGATGATCACGACAAAATTTAATCTTTGTGAAAAATATTAAATTTCCTTCTATCAAGTTAGTTAATTTCCTTCAAGTGAATCTGTTCCACTCCACCAAATATTCTCACGTGGAAGATATAGTGTTTATGCAGAACTAATTTGTTCTCTCAGTTTTTCTGTCCGAAGACTTTCCATTTCCCAACGAATTTTCCTTTACTATTCAGTAGCGAAGTGGTCAAACGATTCAAGTCGACTTAGCTCTTAGCTGAGTTTTCGAGGAATATCTCAAAATCTAAGGGCGAGAGCGAAATTTTCTATGTATCTTTTTTGAAGCTCTTAATGTGCTCTACCGAAAAGGTCATAACAGAAATTTTGCTATTTGCCTTAGATTGCGAGATATTCATTGAAAACTCATGAGTAGTCAAAATCGACTTAAACCGTTTGACCACTTCGCTACTGTATTATCAAATAAAAAATTGGTTGATTTGAATCATAGAATCTCCTACGATTTGCGAGGTATTATTATATGAAAAAAATTCTCGACACATGAATATGCAAGGCCTGAAGACTAATTCAACCCCTCGTTGTTCATTCACTTTCTTTTTACCGATGTCTAACCCCGGTCATGATCCCGTTTGAAAATATTCTAATAGAAGTGCAAGACACGCATTACTTTACACGAATTAGACGAGCCTGGTTCTGTGTTCAATCATAATGCGGGGCAAGAAGCCATTCAATGCTAATTTTTCACTCACGTGGCGCTCACACAAACCCCTGTCTTCCATCATATTTCTCTAATTAGAGTTTTATTCAATAAGAAAAAGGCTGTATACCGTAATGGCAGAAATACCGGTGGTCACAGGGTACCGTTTCGCCATATTAAAAACCAATTTTGGTTAAGATTGATTGAAAACCAAAATGGGAAGACTGCGCCAAAAATTGATATCAGAAGCTGTAATTTCCGCCGAAAAAAGCGATCATTGAGTTGAAATTCAACTGAGGCATGTGTGCACGGATCGGGGGGAGTCCACCTACAATCCGAAAAAAAGTTTTATGACCCGTCCGCATCGGAGGATCGTTACATTTCCCGTTTTCATTTGATCGAATTCACACTGGGAAAAAAACAACAAGTTGAGAACTGCCAAAAAATAAATTGTTCGATTTGAATGTGAGAGTCTCAGACATGAATAATCGCTCTGCTTTCATCAATAATTAAATATTTGGCTTAAGACGCGGATATTATTGCCACGAGACAATGCCTTTGCAGAATGAAAATATCTGTTATAAAAAAAAGTTTATCAAGAAATATTTTGCAATCTTAAACAATTCTTCTTGCGATTGATTGACAATCAGAATGGAAAGAGGAAGCCAAAAATTGAAATTAGGAAGTGTAATTTCCGCCGACCCCATCTACAATTTGAATTTAAGAGTCTCCAACATGAATAATCGCTCTATTTTTATCAACAATTAAATATTTGGCTCAAGCGACGGATTATTTACACGAGATCGCTTCTAAATTAAAGGATTAATTCTGAATTTCTCATCTGTGACAATTGCATAGGCGAAACTGAGAACTACTGTCCCTTGTTTAGCACAAAACGAACATTTTTCGTTGCAGTAGTGCTAGAAATGTCATTTCTTGCGTGACAGAGAATAAAAACTTCTAGTCTTCAAATTTTCAGTACTAGATTTCATACTTTTCGTTATTTTACTCTGCGATTTTTTTCCTCTTCAACCAAGAATTGTTTGAGAAAATATTTTTTCCTCCTCATTCTACGTATGACACAAAGAACTAGAGGAGGAAGAAGAATAAAGAGTAAGACGAAGAGGGTGGTGTGTAATACCGTTGCATACAGTGTGCGTCGTCACGTAGTGTGTTTTTCCGATCGGCTGTTGGCTACTTCTACGGAGCAATGTTAAAAAACCATTCGCAGCTTCAGTACACACAATATCACACGGGAATTCTTTTATTTTGCCGTTGAAGAACTAACACTAGGGCTAACACTTGTGCATCTTGGATTGGGCGTGGGGAGAGGGGCAAGACGGCGATGACTGAGGAGACCAGAATGTGCGTTGGGTAAGCCATGAGAATAAAAGCCGATGATGAGCAATGCCGTTACGAGACGTCCTCACAGTAGGCGATGTATTCCCCGGTTCAATAAAAAATAATGGAAAAACTTGTGGTGCGGCAAGAAGAAAGTCATCATTTGTCTCCCTAAATAGTAATTAAGAATACGATGAACTCGGAGTGGGATTCCAGTTTTGGGGATAGAACAGGAAAAACAATAACAACAAATCAGTCCGGGTTTTGTGTTTCTTAAAAGGATTCCAGAGTCACGGGAAGTCTTTAGGTAGATTCCCTGGGGAGATATTGACGTTAACGAGCCACGTTTTAGATCACTGAGGCTGATCCAGATAATCTCTAGATCTCATGCTTTTCTCTACGATTCCTTCAACGCTTCAATGGCATCTCACTGTCTCTCTCTCTTGTTGTTTTCGTTATTCAGTGATCATCGAGTGGATGTAGTGGAAAATATTGGGGTGATAAGGGGGGGAGAGACGGATTTCATCGACGGGATGTACAGG